AGACTTTTAGTCCCTGGAGTACAGGGGCAGGGTCTGCTCTCCGTCGTATCCCCTATAGCCTGTAGCATGTGCTTTACAGAGTTGGGTCTCAGGAATTGTTTGTTGGGTTGGTCAAACTAGAATGAATGGACTCTGTTTCTACATCTGAAGATGCTGCATCTGAAGTGCTGCCAGCTATTGAAACTCAAACAGCCCTTCTCTCCTCGGGCTGCATCATACCAGGTTCAGTGGGCACCCTGCTATGTTCTTTCATTGTGAAGCCAACCAGGAGGTCCCTCTTTGTCATTCAAAGCATCTTGGGTTATATTTTGCAAGTCACCTATGGCTTGCATCCATATTTCAATATGAACAGTTTTTATTCAGTACTTGCTGTGGGTATGAAAAAGAATATGGTAAGGCTTGTTTTGAAGTGTTATGAGGTATTGGTTAAGAGCATGCACTTCGAAGGCAAAGGGAGGCCTAGGTTCAAATCCAGACTCACCTCCAACTGTGTCCTGCGTGTGATTTTGGTCAAGTTAACTAACTTTTGTGCCTCTGTTTCCTAATGGGAAGAGTAGAGTGCAGATGATGTGATTGCTGAGGGTCTGGAAAAGACAGAGCTTTGAGATGGATTGTGCATCCTTGGGCAAGTTGCTTTACCTCTCTGTTCCTTAGGGTCCGCATGTGTAAAAGGAAGATAATAATAATGCAATGCACACCACAGAGTTTTTGTCAAATTAGATGACATATAACGCAAGATAGGTAGGTGTTCAGCATGGCCTCTGACTCCTACTAAGGACTCAGGAAAGATTAGTTGGCTGTTTGTGTTAAAGGTAGTGCAGTTGCTATTGTTATTATTACTATTTCCACAACTTCTATTTGGGTCCATCTTACTACCTCCAGGCCTGCATCAGATACCATTAAGTGTCAGGCCAAAGAAGAAAGCAGCTACCGCTGACAAGCTTAGGCAGGGGCCCTGAAAGTAGATTGTCGGTGACACCAGCAAATTCACTTCATTCCATTTCTGAGAGAAATGGCTGTGTTATAAAGGAACATCAGAAAAAAATATAACCAAATGTCTCTTCACCACACCTTCAAATGTCGCCCAGACGGCATCTCTCAGCATCCACAGAAGAGTTAAGCCTTATCTTTTGTTTCCAAGAGGCTGCCACATACAGATGATCTGATCTCGTTAAGAAACAGGCATCAACTTGAACACTGCTGTGATTGCATCTCAAACCCATCAGCCGGTGAAAAGGGAGCTTGGATCAGAAGGTCTGAGCAAAATATTGAAAGTGAGATTACAAAGAATAGTGTCTATTGAAGGGTCAGGGACATGAAAGCAAAATAGACCCTACAAATGGAGTGAAAATTGAATGTAATTGATAAAGGCTATGCAGAATTTTAAGACTTAAGGAAAAGAAGAAAAGAAAAGCTCTAAGTGTCTAGATGAAGAAAACCATGTGTACTAATGCCAGAGTTTTCTGTGAACTCAAAGGGAATATTAATTAAGATGCTGCAAGTCAATTCAGGTAAAATAAGGATGAATTCAAAGCCATATATATACGTGCAGAGATATACGTATTCACGTCTCTGTATGTATGTGGGTGTGTTCAGCTATCTCTGGAATATAAAGAGAGGTAGGAGAATAATTCTGGTGTTCTGATTTACCCTGCTGAAAGGAATTGAAACTTTGCTATTAAGGTGATTTCCACATCATTTTAGCACAGCAGTGCCAAGAAAAGCCCCCAAATAAAATAAAAACTGATTTTTCCATTTCCAGGCCAATGAAAAGTGATTGAAATTTTAGATGACTATCAGATCATTTCCCAACTATATTTAATTTTGCATAGAGAGAAGGAGGGGAATGTGTGCCTACATTTATGTTTATCTGTGCATCTAGACAGAGTTTGACTTTCAAGTAAACAGTACGATCTTATTAAATACACATTCTAGAAATTGTATATCACAGTGAATCAGAATGGCTACCTTAGAAAGTAGCATAATTATTCTAATGATTCTGCAATTACTGAAAACTCTTTTGAAATGCCTACCTTTTAGTCTTTCCATAGACAATTACAAGTCATAAGAAAAGAAAAGAATCTATTTAATCAATATGTTTATTGAATACCTACCATGTCCCAGGCATTGTGCTAGATATCAAGGATATAGACATCTGTAAGACATATGTTGGGTCTAAAAAGACAGAACTTATTATTTTATTGACTCAAAGCAACATTACTAATAATGTTCACTTATCTTATTTATATTAGATTTGGTTGTTTCCAAAAATAAGATCTAAACTCAAAGAATCAAGGTGCGATGCTACTAAGAGTATTCAAAATTAATTGTCGTCTTTAACAATGAGCAATTCCCACATGGAAATTCCATGAGATGTCTTGGGCAATGGTGGAATAATTGTTTAGCTTTAAGGGCAACTACCATGTGGGAGAGGACTCACTTGAATGGCATTTTGGTATTTTTTTAATCATTCACTTTACTTTTGTCAACCAAAGTAAATTAATTACCTGGTTGAGATATAAAACACAAAGAGTTTATTTGAGAACTGTTAGGACTGCAGCCTGGGAGACACAGATCCACGAAGTCTAGAACATGTGCTCCAAAAAACAAAGGAAAGTCAGGAAATTTAAGGGAAAATGCTTACCAAAAAGGAAGGGGCGGTTCCAAAAGTTGTGATTGTTGTTAACATGTGTCAGACAGCCTTGTCCTTTAAGGCACTGTTCGTAACAGTTCTTGGAGGCAGGCTTTGGTCAGGAACCTTCCTGTTTGGGAAGAAGGGGCAGAAAGTAGCAATCAGCAGATTCACGGCAGTTGCTCAGCCAAGAGGTTGCAACCTTCCTGCTGAGGCTGAGTGCAAAGTTTCAGTGTCCTCTGTCAAGATGTGCCTGAGACTCAAGCTGAGCTGGCCCACCAGCTCCGTTTTATGTGCTTTGACCAGGCTGATGACACTTTCCCTTGTCACTTTTTATTTTCATATGTACTTTGAATAGAGTATATGTATTATTTACACTCATGCATACATACATGCATACATACAAATATTCCATTTTTAGCATATATCTCAAGTCTTAAAACTTTTTCTCTCTGTTAGGGCACTAGTGGATTTACCAGGTAGCCACCTCACAGCCCTGAGAGCTGAGCAAAATAGACCCTACAAATGGAGTGAAAATTGAATGTAATTGATAAAGGCTATGCAGAATTTTAAGACTTAAGGAAAAGAAGAAAAGAAAAGCTCTAAGTGTCTAGATGAAGAAAACCATGTGTACTAATGCCAGAGTTTTCTGTGAACTCAAAGGGAATATTAATTAAGATGCTGCAAGTCAATTCAGGTAAAATAAGGATGAATTCAAAGCCATATATATACGTGCAGAGATATACGTATTCACGTCTCTGTATGTATGTGGGTGTGTTCAGCTATCTCTGGAATATAAAGAGAGGTAGGAGAATAATTCTGGTGTTCTGATTTACCCTGCTGAAAGGAATTGAAACTTTGCTATTAAGGTGATTTCCACATCATTTTAGCACAGCAGTGCCAAGAAAAGCCCCCAAATAAAATAAAAACTGATTTTTCCATTTCCAGGCCAATGAAAAGTGATTGAAATTTTAGATGACTATCAGATCATTTCCCAACTATATTTAATTTTGCATAGAGAGAAGGAGGGGAATGTGTGCCTACATTTATGTTTATCTGTGCATCTAGACAGAGTTTGACTTTCAAGTAAACAGTACGATCTTATTAAATACACATTCTAGAAATTGTATATCACAGTGAATCAGAATGGCTACCTTAGAAAGTAGCATAATTATTCTAATGATTCTGCAATTACTGAAAACTCTTTTGAAATGCCTACCTTTTATTCTTTCCATAGACAATTACAAGTCATAAGAAAAGAAAAGAATCTATTTAATCAATATGTTTATTGAATACCTACCATGTCCCAGGCATTGTGCTAGATATCAAGGATATAGACATCTGTAAGACATATGTTGGGTCTAAAAAGACAGAACTTATTATTTTATTGACTCAAAGCAACATTACTAATAATGTTCACTTATCTTATTTATATTAGATTTGGTTGTTTCCAAAAATAAGATCTAAACTCAAAGAATCAAGGTGCGATGCTACTAAGAGTATTCAAAATTAATTGTCGTCTTTAACAATGAGCAATTCCCACATGGAAATTCCATGAGATGTCTTGGGCAATGGTGGAATAATTGTTTAGCTTTAAGGGCAACTACCATGTGGGAGAGGACTCACTTTAATGGCATTTTGGTATTTTTTTAATCATTCACCTTACTTTTGTCAACCAAAGTAAATTAATTACCTGGTTGAGATATAAAACACAAAGAGTTTATTTGAGAACTGTTAGGACTGCAGCCTGGGAGACACAGATCCACGAAGTCTAGAACATGTGCTCCAAAAAACAAAGGAAAGTCAGGAAATTTAAGGGAAAATGCTTACCAAAAAGGAAGGGGCGGTTCCAAAAGTTGTGATTGTTGTTAACATGTGTCAGACAGCCTTGTCCTTTAAGGCACTGTTCGTAACAGTTCTTGGAGGCAGGCTTTGGTCAGGAACCTTCCTGTTTGGGAAGAAGGGGCAGAAAGTAGCAATCAGCAGATTCACGGCAGTTGCTCAGCCAAGAGGTTGCAACCTTCCTGCTGAGGCTGAGTGCAAAGTTTCAGTGTCCTCTGTCAAGATGTGCCTGAGACTCAAGCTGAGCTGGCCCACCAGCTCCGTTTTATGTGCTTTGACCAGGCTGATGACACTTTCCCTTGTCACTTTTTATTTTCATATGTACTTTGAATAGAGTATATGTATTATTTACACTCATGCATACATACATGCATACATACAAATATTCCATTTTTAGCATATATCTCAAGTCTTAAAACTTTTTCTCTCTGTTAGGGCACTAGTGGATTTACCAGGTAGCCACCTCACAGCCCTGAGAGCTGACAGGATGCTCATTAAACCATTGTTAATTTCTCCCCTTTTTCAGAATCCTTGGGAATCGGGTGGCTGAGCTGGAAAAAAAATTAAGAACTCTGGAAGTTTCTGGTTTGTGGAGTCTTCCAGGTAAGCAGAACTTCATGAAAACTGGTTTCCTTTTTTTAAAAAAAGGAAGCTCTCACATAATTTACAAGAAGATTCTATCTTTTTAATGTCCTTTTATTTGGAGATCATTGCCGAAAAATCTGTAAGTGTTTTAAACTTACACACTGTCATTGGTGGGGAATCAGAAAAATATAATAAATATTCAAATTCTCATCTGTGGAACTATGCAGTTTTGCTCACCTAAATTCTGAAATTGTCATTTTGTCTGTTTTTTTGTCAGGAAATTTAAGGGAAAATGCTTACCAAAAAGGAAGGGGCGGTTCCAAAAGTTGTGATTGGTGTTAACATGTGTCAGACAGCCTTGTCCTTTAAGGCACTGGTCGTAACAGTTCTTGGAGGCAGGCTTTGGTCAGGAACCTTCCTGTTTGGGAAGAAGGGGCAGAAAGTAGCAATCAGCAGATTCACGGCAGTTGCTCAGCCAAGAGGTTGCAACCTTCCTGCTGAGGCTGAGTGCAAAGTTTCAGTGTCCTCTGTCAAGATGTGCCTGAGACTCAAGCTGAGCTGGCCCACCAGCTCCGTTTTATGTGCTTTGACCAGGCTGATGACACTTTCACTTGTCACTTTTTATTTTCATATGTACTTTGAACAGAGTATATGTATTATTTACACTCATGCATACATACATGCGTACATACAAATATTCCATTTTTAGCATATATCTCAAGTCTTAAAACTTTTTCTGTCTGTTAGGGCACTAGTGGATTTACCAGGTAGCCACCTCACAGCCCTGAGAGCTGACAGGATGCTCATTAAACCATTGTTAATTTCTCCCCTTTTTCAGAATCCTTGGGAATCGGGTGGCTGAGCTGGAAAAAAAATTAAGAACTCTGGAAGTTTCTGGTTTGTGGAGTCTTCCAGGTAAGCAGAACTTCATGAAAACTGGTTTCCTTTTTTTAAAAAAAGGAAGCTCTTACATAATTTACAAGAAGATTCTATCTTTTTAATGTCCTTTTATTTGGAGATCATTGCTGAAAAATCTATAAGTGTTTTAAACTTACACACCGTCATTGGTGGGGAGCTGGGGGGAATCAGAAAAATATAATAAATATTCAAATTCTCATCTGTGGAACTATGCAGTTTTGCTCACCTAAATTCTGAAATTGTCATTTTGTCTATTTTTTTTTTTACTTTTGTGAATGTAGTATATTGTTTCACTTTTTATCTGCAAGTATCTATAAGAGATTTGTTCCATGTAATCATCACTTCTAAAAATATAAGAACATACAAAGATTTGTTCAATTTAATCATCAGTCCTAAAAATGAATATAAGAACTTATGAGGACTTGTGCAATTTAATCATCAGTCCTAAAATTGAATGTAAGAATTTACAAAGATTTGTTCAATTTAATCACCAGTACTAAAAATGAATATAAGATCCAACACTTTTTCTAACCCAAAAGTACCTCACAACCTCCTTCACCTCCCTTCCCCATCCCATTTTTATGTAGCTTGAAAATCAAAATTTCCTGTGGAGATTTTTTTCACAGTTGTACACCATCTTAGGAGACGCTGATGTTTCACTTTAATTAGCTATATTTATTCCGTTTGTCTTGGTAAAACATCCCTTGCGTGAGACCCCCGTCAGCTATTCCCCCTTGTCTTTCCACTCTTCAGAGACTTGTATTTATCATTTCCCACCACCTCCTCTTTCCCTGGAAGCAAGATTGCACATATATTTTTAGTTACTTAACCTTTCTGTGCAAACCAGTCTCCTCTACACTTGAATCATGTGGGCTGCTTCCCCGTAATGTTTGATAAATGAAAATTGCCACAGGGAGGTGGACAACAGCAAGTTTTCCTAAAGTAAATCTGAATAGCTGCCTTAGGTTGCCTGGAAGCGTATTTCATAAATTGGAATTTTTAGCAGAGATTTCTTGAACTCGATGTCAAAAGACCTAACAGAACTAATTAGTAGTGGGGGCCATGCTGGGGATTTGAATGATCCGTTTTGTACAAGAACATTTTGATGCTGTTAAAACCTCACCTGTGAAGTCCTTTCTTTTATTGCGTTGAATTTCAAAACAGCTGGGCAAATTTATCATTTATTTGTACAGTCAGATTGACATCTCTGTGCCTATAGTGGAGCTTTATTTTTTCTTTTGTTTTTCTTTTTGTCAAAATGACTTAGTGAAATTTCTCACTGTTTTCTATAGTTTACATAAAAAGATGAAAGTCGAATAAGTGAACAATGCTGAGAATTTTCTGTTTCTCGTACTGTCTGGTCTAGGTGAGACTTCAGATGGCTGCTATGCAATAACAATTGTTTCTTTCCTTCTTTTTGCTGCCTGAAGGCCTGAGCTACAATGTTTCAATAGGATTTGGGAGTATGTTCTATCTGAATTATCTGTTTTTTGTGGATGATATCAGCAGGGCATTATATTATCCTTGCATGTAAATAAGTAGAAATGCATTAACCCACCTTTCCTTGAACTTTTCTGATTAGAACAGTCAATTGAAATAGAAAATTCAATTAGTACAAAGCAAATATTAAATGGTGAAATCAGCTTTGAGGGATGAGGCTGAATGAATTTTATGCCATGGTCATATTTGTTCTAATCTCTGGTTTCTGCATAGACATGTAGTGGGAGGACAGGCAGAAGGAGTGGAGATTCCCCGGATCTGGTAGTTTCTCTAATGGCCATAGCATCTCCCTTGTGCAGTGATGAAGGATGTTCCCATGAAGCATCGCGTTATGATGTTTTCAAGCTGTGGTGAGGGGAAGGGGGGAAAGCCTCTTCCAGTGTAAACCGGTGTAAACCCTTCTGTCTGCTCATTGTTTATGTGTCTCCATTTAACCTACTGAACAGTAGAATAAAAGGGACTATGTTCCTTTCCTCCTCCTCTTCCTCCTCTATCCCCTCCTCCTCCTCCTTTTCTTTCTCTCTCCAAGTAGGAGCCAGATCATGGTGTTTAGCCAACTGGAGGGCACTGAGTCCCAGTGGTTTCAGAGGATTGCTGACTCTGTCTTATTTAGTAGCATCTTGAAAGGACCAGTGTCTCCTCCAATAAATCAGCTCATCAGTGTGTTGATATGTTTTAGGCATAAACTGTGAGTTCAGTGCTGTACCAGACATTCTAGATGTGCCCCTCACCCCCTCCAAGAATCTACAGTCCACTTGGGGAAGTGAGATGAATCTGCATCAAGCAGTGAGAGGAAAGAGCAAAATGGAGCATAAATCAGTGCTGAGCGTGTGAGGGAGCGATGTGAGGAGTCGTCGAATGCTCCACCTGGAAGGACGGTTGAGAGCTAAACTTTCGAGGATGACAAATACTTGGTGTGTATTGTACAACACCCACTCCCACGCCGCAGCAGACATTGCCAGTCAATCGCATCATTCTTCCTTGCTGATTTCAGATGTGGCCCTCAGGACAGTCTTCCACATTGGATTTCTAGGCAGCTACCTCCTGGTCAGAGCTGATATGTGAGAGGAAACATTTTCCTCTTTCCTGGTCTAGTCTGATTCTCTCGCTTTGGATAGGGAAACAGAGGCCCAGGAAGTTAGATGATACCTAAGGCCCCAGAGGCTGGCATTAGAACCTGGGTGTTGGATTTTCATTTCAGTGTTCTTCCACCAGTGCTTGGTAATGACTCTTCAGAGAGGAGAGGATTGTGGGTAGATGAGGTCAGCTGGAGACTAGTTCACAGAGCAGGTCGGTCTGGAGAGGAGGAATTAAGAAACCAGAGCAATCTCTTCTGAGACTCTAAAGAGCAGTGGAGAAGAAGCCTACCCCTCATTAATGCAACGTTGAAAGACTGTTGGACTTTGAGTGTGCCGTGATTTTTCTTGGCCACTCCTTTCCCTCCCTCCCTGCTCACCCTCTCAGCCACTGACAATGGAGCTCTTGATGTTGTTTGCTAGAGTTGGGACAATGCTGGGAAGGAGGCACATTTGACAGATGTAACAGCCTGCGTAGAGAAATCATCTGGATACAAAGCATATGCCAGACTGTTTAGCTTGTCTCTACCAGGTGGGTAAGCTATGGGGCTATTGCAAGAAGCCAGAAGATGGGCCCCATTGACCATGCCCCTCGGGGAGGAACGAGCCTCCACCCTCCCCAGTCCCTGCCCAGCAGCCCTGTCCTCTCATCCTCTGCAGGGAGAATGGTGCTTGGGTGGCTCTGAGGGAGGTTCCCTGGATGTGTTCATGCTCAAAAAAAGAAACGCTGAAAGCCAGAAAAAAATCTGGCAAGAGCAGAGCCTGGCTCTTTGAGCTTTTCATTTTCATTCTCTCTCTACTCCATGCATCAGCCTGAGGAGGAAAATGTGTGGTTTGAAAGCACTTGGTACATTTGGAGAAGGAAATAAGGGATTTTGTGCAATAAGGAATCAGGAGAACTTCCAGAAACTCAAACACCAGCTCCATGTAAGGGCCTGCTTGGCCTTCTACATCAGTTGTAGTTTAACTCTAGTTTGTGTACCACTTTCACCCCACTCCCTTAAGTTCTAGTCCTAAGAACTGAAATGAAAGTACGAGACAGCTGACCATCAGATTAGAGCTCAGTTTAGCCAACATAGGTGGAATCTGGACTTAGAAACAGTGGAACTAAGAGCCTTTTAAGAAAGGTTTTATGAAACCTTCAATCATTTTGCAAGAATGACCAAATCTTGGCATTTTACCTTAAGACCAGGAAATGATCTCTCTAGGGAAGAATTTAGGGAGTATTTCTCTTTTCCCCAATCCTCACCTTGCCTGGACTTGGAAGAGGGGTGGCTTCTGTTCCCCTTCTCTACATGTTTGTGCTTGGATTTTTGGAGAGGTTTAGTGTTGCTAGTACCAGGGCTTTTGAGGAGCCATTGTGGAGTGGAAGATGACCCTGTGGTTGGGTAGACCCAAGGAGATATTCCACCCTAAAGAATCCCTCATGACAGGAAGGGCTGAGGTCCTTGTTCAGGTTGCTTGGCCCAGCTGCAGCCAGGCCCACCTCTGCTTACAATTCTGACTCTTTGACTTCCAGGGCAGAGGGGATTTGGAAGGCTGGTTGGAACACAGAGGGGCAGAGTAGTGTGTCTCCTACTGAGTCTCCTGAAGACTAGAGAGCTACTAGCCTACCTGCTACAGAAAGATGGGTCAAGAAATGCAGTCCTGTCTCTGACTTGAAGACAGCAAATGTTGCCTCAATGGAGAAAAACAAAAGAAATCCACCTCGAGGCACCTGCTATCCATTCATGGTAACCAAAGCCTGGATCAGCATTAGTCTGTCAAGGTCTTTCCAGCTTGTATCTTTGCATCACAAAGGGAGGCCTGGTTGTGTTGACTTCATTCTGAGAGCCTCTTAACAACATCCTGAGCTGTATGTTAACAGTTTTCTTTGGGGAACCTCCCCAGGTTGTGGCCCTGAAGATTTCTGTTTTTTTTCCACATGAGACAATAGCTGTGCTGGTGCAGAACTTCAGGGCCAGCTCCCATCAGGTTCTTCTCTTCTGGGATGACTCCCAAATAGCAGAGCAACTGGAGGCTCCATCTGCCTGAAGCAGCAGCCAGCACCCATGCCTGCCAGACGTCAGGATTCCCAAGAACACAGCAGCCATTTATTCAGACATTTATCAGACACCTACCTGCCCTGTGCCAAACACCATCACAGTCTTGGAAATCAAGTTAACAAGACATGGCCTAATGGGAAGACAATATTATAAACAACTAGGAGGGACCTAGACGTACAGTGATGAAGTTATGTCCAAGTTCACCTGGTTCTCCAAAGGAGTAGACGTCTTTACACAAATGTCATTCTGTGCTCTGCCGAGCCTGAAGCTGAGTAAAATCATAGAATTTTAGAGCCTCTGATCTGAGCCCCAGAGACATTTAGTGAGTTGGCTTCACACAGCTTTAGAGAGGGACTTGCTCAAAGTCAGATAGCTAAGACTAGAGCACAGGCTAGACTTGTGGCCTCCTGGGGTTTCATTTTTGGCAGGATGGTTCCCACCAAGAGAATCCCAAAGCTTCATGGACCAAAGCCAACTGCCTGTTGGGCTCTCCTGTCCACTGGGGACAGCATCACTATGTCCATGTGTTTTGTGTCTGTGTTCCTCATGCTCCTGGTTCAAAGCTATACCCTGCTCCTCACCTCTGTGATTTGCATGGCCTCTAAAGTAGAGTCATGATGTCTTTCTTTCCTCCTCCTGTTTGTCTTCGACTTGCTCTATTCATATCGGGAGTTCATACTGATAGGTAGAAGGGTTTGGCTGGAATAGGATCGTATGTTCTAAGTGAAAGTTTAGCCGTGATAATTTGGAGGATTTGATACTACCTGCCTTTTGATAGAGTTATTATTCAGTCTAAGTGACGAAATGGAATTAAGTCAGATATACTGTGTGCAGCAGTGCTGTGTACACTGTATTTATTGCAATAGGTGACACTTATTGCTTGCTGATTAAATGCGCACATGCGTTACATGAACCAGATCACTTCGTCCTCACAACCACCCAATGAGGTGGGGGTTGTTATTCTTCCTCATTTTACAAGTTAGGGATCTGAGACCCAGAGAAGTGAAGTGCCTTGCCTGAGGTCATCCAGCTAGCAAGTGATGATGTCCAGAACACAAACACTGTAGCATAGCTCCAAAGCCTACACTCCTAAGCACTCTGCTATTATTATCGTTATATCTCACCCAGATCAAAGCCACTCAAGTTTTTGGTTGGCATAACAGGCTGCCCTTTTTTTTTTTCTTTTACTTTATTTTATTTTGTCAATATACAATGTGGTTGATTATTGTAGCCCATTACTGAAAACTCCCTCCCTCCACCCACTCCCCCCTCCCTCCAGGCTGCCCTTTAATGATGGCATTTGTGGGCAACCATCCCTGAACAGACTCTCAAGAATAAGTTGAGGTCTCTAATCATAGACAGCTGGCCCTGGACCTCACTGCTCTGTCTTCACATACAGAAAGGGCCTGCTAGCCCTCTCCCTTCTATAGTGTTGCCTACAGTGGAAGATGGTTCCTAGTTAACCCAAAAGCCAAGTAGTTGTGTGGGAGTAAATGTAGCCCAACACCACTGATGATATAACATGTCCATTTTCCCCTTTACCGTGACAGGGGGCAAGGACACCATACTGTTCAGCGAACCCGCTCTTCCTACCATACAGAGGTCAAGGTCCCCACTGCTGAAGCTTGTTGAGCAGCCCACTGAGAACAAAGTGAATCCCAAGGATGGTAAGCACGCCTCGATTTCTCCATCTCTGCCTGGCACGTGCCAGCCACAGAGGAGGGGCACAGTGGACATCAGCCCCTTCTCCTTCCTGCAGCTGCTGTGGCACCACTGGGGCATTCCTCATGTTTCCTTTTGTTTAAGTGGGTTCATCTTGTTCAGAGGTTCCAGCAGAAGATTCCAGGCCCCTGAGCATGGTGGCATGGAGGTTAACAGTGAGGACTCAGGAACTGAACAACATGAGTTCATGTTTCAGCTCCACATCATATTGGCTGTGAGAACTTGGGCTAGAGACTTCAGCCTCTGCTTCCTCTCCTATAAAATGGTGACATGATGGTGCCTACCTCAGGAAAATCTTGGCACATTGCCTGGCACACAGTAAGTGGTCTGGGAACCAGTGGAATGGAGAGAAAGTCTCCTCTGCCGGGAAGATAGCTCTGGTGGTAGGGCATTTTGAAGGGAACCAAAGACCCATTTAGGGAGCCAGATGAGCCAATAGATGTGAAAGTCACATCTCTTCCCATGTGGTAGTCTTGTTTACCCCCCAAAACTACCCTTCACATCTTTCAAAGTTTTGCTTGTCTTCTTCTGCCACCCCCAGTATGGTAGCCAGCTTCCAAGATGGCACCAAGTAGTCCCCACCCTTTGGTATTCATGTGCTGTATAGTCTTGTCCCATGTTGTATCAGGGTTATCTGTGTGATTAATAGAATACAGAAGAAGTGATGGTATGTGACTTCTGAGGATAGGTCATAAAAGACATGTGGCTTGTGCCTTGCACTCCTTCTTGGGTCATTCACGCTGGAGGAAGCTGGCTGCCATGTCATGAGGATACTCAAGCAGCCCTACATTCTGTTTATGGGATGTGTAACTGAGGCTGCCAGCCCTCAGCTGTGCAAGTGAGCCACCTTGGAAGCAGGTTCCCCAACCCCAGTCAAGCCTTCAGATGACCACAGTCCTTGTGAACATTTTGATGGGAACCTCAGGAGAGACCAGGAGCCAGAACCATGTAGCTAAACTGTTCCCAGACTCCTGAGTCTTAAGCTGCTAGGTTTTGAAGTAACTTGGTACACAGCAATAGGTAACAATATACCCAGCATGTGAGTACCAAGATTCTTTCCTTGAACATCCACATTTCTTCTCCATCTTCTCTTGCTAAGAGTCACACCTTCAATCATCACTTTCACAAAAATATTCTCAAAGCATTTTCCCCCTCTGGGTTCAATCTACAAAGTTACAGTCCCCCAGTTCCCAGAGCCTGAACTTTTCCACCCGAACATTCTGCAGACTTGCCAAGTATGCCATCAGCAACTCTTCCTGATTCCTCCCCTTTTTGTTACCCTTCCACCTACTCAGGCTTGAGACCTCGGAGCCGTCACCGCGGTGACTTTCCTTCCCCATCCTCATCTGGTCTGTAGCCAAACTCCTTCTGCAGGGTTTTTTGCATCTCTTCTACCCTTGCCTCTGGCTTGGTTCAAGCCATTATTACCTTGTCAGCAGGGCTCCCCTCCTGGCTTTCCTGCCTCCTGGAGTCTCCTTGCTTCATTCCCGTCTTCATCCTGCTGCTATGGGATCAAGCTTCTGGAGTACTGTTTTCCGTAATGTTTGTACTCTGCTCAGAAATCCCGAGTGGTTCTCAGCTGTCTTCCACTTTAAATCTCAACTCTGCAATCCAACCTAGCCTACTTTTCTAACCTTATCTTACCTAACCTTATCTGACCTAAAAACTGTGCTTTTATCAAAATGGACTAACCAGCTGTATCAGTTATCTATTGTTGGGTAACAAACCACCTGATAACTTAGGCCTTAAAGCAACAACTCTGTGTTGTTGATTCCGAGTCTTTGGGTCCAACAGGCAGTTTTGCTAATCCGAGCTGGGCTCAGCAAGGCTCACTCATGCATCTGCACAGCTCAGTTTTGCAGCCTGTTCAAATCACTCATAATAATGCATGAAGTGGTAAGAATAGAAGCCAGGACATGTCTGGGATTTCAACATTCCTGGAGAGAGTCCCTGTCTCTGGTAGGTTCCACGCCGGCCAGAAAGTAAGGCTGAACCTTTCCAGCCAGCACCAGGGGGCTGGCCAGTAACTCACCATGGCCCAGTGTGCGCTTTGGAACATGTCTTGGCTGTGGTCATCCTGTGCCGGCATCCAGGGTCCACATGGAGATCCAAAGCCCTTTGTCTGTTCTGGGCTTGCTGAGCCTGGGGGTGGGCTTGGGCCTGCTGAACTGAAATGGAGCATGAGCCTGGCTTGATTTTCACAAGGGCAGCGTAAGTAATGGACTGATTCAAAATGATAGCTTCCAGGCTTCCATCATTAGCCCTCATTGTTCCAACCCCGTCTTCACCAGCGCTGGGTGGGAACAAGGAAGCGTTTGTGCAGTGGCTGTCAGCGGCTGGGATGGCCTCATCACGGTCACATCTCTGATTAATTCCAACTGAAAGCAGCACACTCGGGAGGACAAAGCCCATCAGAGACTGGTTAACAAAGGAAGACAAATGTCTCCTTTGGGCCAGTGCGGGGGAAAACACATTTTTAGAAGATTAACAATCTTTTCTACCAAGAGATGTTGTTTCTTCATCTTTCAGAGAAAATATTTTTCTTTCCACACGATTTGTGTCATAATGCATTTGTATCAGTTGATTGCCTCATCATTACTGCTATGTGTATTTTTAATAATAAGTATTAATGATAATAATTCTATTTGCTAAAACAGCACAGAATAATTACTATTATTTGTAACAAAATTTTTCTACTCTTGCATAGTTCAGAAATCCTTTATGGAAATGGTGATGATATGTGTCTGTTCTTAAAGTAAAAATACAACTCCCACAGCTGAAGAGTTAAGTTTCCAGAATCTTAAAGAAGGATTTTGCTCCCACAGCAATTAATCAGAGGTCCTAGTGATAGCTTAACAGTTGTGATACTTTCAGTATCTTTTCTTTGTCTCCTGATAATGACTTGAGTTTACTTTTTGGTTTCCTTTGGGTAAACAAAAGGGAGGAGTGGGTTGGCAAATCCTGCTGTTGACTCATAATTCAGTGCTAGAGCCTGGCCCCTGTCTGGTCCCATGGCTTTGAAAATCCAGCCTTTCTCAGAAAAAATAAATTCCTGATAGGACCGAAGAGTAGAATTACAGCCTGCGCTCACTCATCCTCTTACTGTGGCTCCGTTTTAACCTATAATGATGGCAACAGTGTTGTTTCTCCCATCTCCTCCCCCTGCCCGACTCATCCTCTTACTGTGGCTCCGTTTTAACCTATAATGATGGCAACAGTGTTGTTTCTCCCCTGCCCAAAAAAAGTTAAACAGTTCTCCCTGGTAATCTCAGAGGTTTGCCATTCTAAAAAAGGTTCATACATGTGGACATGAGTGGAATGTCTTCTAAAGAAATGGCACAAGGCAAAATATCAGCAACCAAAAGGCCCCCGTGTAATTTAGACCACCCTCCCTGAGATGTAAATTAAGGTAGAGAAGATTAACCTGACCCACAGTAAAGACACACTACAAATGGTTTAGGGGTTAGATTGTTACGAGTAAGGTTAATTAATATTTCAGGGGCACCAGAATATGCTATTAAGTGTCCTGGAAGAAGTAATTTCTTAAGAGTAATTTCCAGAAGGAGTTTATTCATCTCACATTGGTGAAAAATTTAGCTGCAGAAAGCACCATAATTTACTCCTTTTGAATAAAGCTTCCCCACTACACTGGAAGCTTGCTCATTTTGACCCACTGTTTCTCATGTCCCCTATCCAACCACTATAAAAATGTTCATTTATCAGTATGAAAATTATGTGATTGCTTCCCAGCTACCTTAGGCATAGCTAAATGTTTGTACAAGTTAGAAATCTCTTTTTATTTCAGACAGTAACATTTTAAGAACTTTTAGGTTAGCAACCTGAGTACAACCTGAAATGAATATCATAAATTCAAGAATTACTTTCATATGTTAATGCATGATATCTAAATATGTGTAATAATATATTCATTTATTTTTGCATTCATGTATATATCCATATATTCAAACATTTAATAAGCTATTTATTAAGCCTCCATCTACAGAACATTGGCAAGGTTAAAAAATGAATCGGGCAATATTTTTATACTTGAGATGGTTTCAGTGGATTGAATGGCCCCCCAAAGTCATGGAAGCACCCACAGTAAAGACACACTACAAATGGTTTAGGGGTTAGATTGTTACGAGTAAGGTTAATTAATATTTCAGGGGCACCAGAATATGCTATTAAGTGTCCTGGAAGAAGTAATTTCTTAAGAGTAATTTCCAGAAGGAGTTTATTCATCTCACATTGGTGAAAAATTTAGCTGCAGAAAGCACCATAATTTACTCCTTTTGAATAAAGCTTCCCCAGTACACTGGAAGCTTGCTCATTTTGACCCACTATTTCTCATGTCCCCTATCCAACCACTATAAAAATGTTCATTTATCAGTATGAAAATTATGTGATTGCTTCCCAGCTACCTTAGGCATAGCTAAATGTTTGTACAAGTTAGAAATCTCTTTTTATTTCAGACAGTAACATTTTAAGAACTTTTAGGTTAGCAACCTGAGTACAACCTGAAATGAATATCATAAATTCAAGAATTACTTTCATATGTTAATGCATGATATCTAAATATGTGTAATAATATATTCATTTATTTTTGCATTCATGTATATATCCATATATTCAAACATTTAATAAGCTATTTATTAAGCCTCCATCTACAGAACATTGGCAAGGTTAAAAAATGAATCAGGTAATATTTTATACTTGAGATGGTTTCAGTGGATTGAATGGCCCCCCAAAGTCATGGAAGTTTAATCCTCACTGTAACAGTTGAGAGTAGGAAATCCTATTATGGTAATTGAAAGATGGAGCATTGAAGAGGTTATTAGATTGTGAGGATGATGCCATAGTGAATAGATTAATAATGGTGATCATGGGCGTGGTTCTGAGGACTTCAAAAGGAGAGCACATGAGAGTCTCTCTCTCTCTGCTCTGC